TGTCATTAACTGAATGACCCACATTCCTTTGAAAGTTCTCAGCAGACACAAAATGAAATGGTATCATGAAGTACTGTTAAACTTTTTCCTGTGTTTACATTGAGCATGAGTACCTTGACCTACTGCCATTATACCTCTAATTCAGTTTACCATTTGCTAAAATCTTTATAAAGCTACATAAAATGGGAAATGTCTACCAGCACTTTTAGTGGTCTCAGTGCATTTGACAACAAATCCAGCAGTGGCCAAAGACCAAACATTACCATATAAAATGTTTTTACTCTGAGTATGCTTCCTTATGAACATTCTAGAGAAAAAATAGAATATCCCTTTTTCTTCTACCAAACTCAGTGACTTTATAATACAGCTTGACTGTGCAAAAACTATCTTTACTTTTGAAAGAATCCCAATATTTACAATTCATCTGTCATGTTTAAACATTAGGGTAATTACCTTACCTTCTCAACTAAAAACAAGAACTATGTATTACAATACATTCATCCAAGAGGAAAGCTTTAAATTAAAAAAAAAAAAAAGACAGTGCAAAAAATGCATGACTGCTGTAAGTGTTTAATTGTAAGACAAAAGCACTACTACATTGTAATTTAAACATAATCTTTCAGAAAATTTAGTGCAAATGAAAGCCCCATGAAAGCCCACTATAAACTTCTTATGAAGACTCTAGAAGTAGGCTCTAGAAATGGAAACACTTGGTTCCAATGAAATTTGCTTTGGAAGAGTATTTCTTTAAAATGTTAAATGGTACAAAGAACATTATGTTATTTAAATCAAGTTAACCAGGTACTAAAAAGACATGCCGATAGGTCTTAATACATAAAATTGATTAGTAGTAGCATGCTTTATATATCAATTATGGAAGCAATTTACAACAAATTCTGAGCATTCAAAGTTTTATTTACTGCCTTTGCCAATTTCTTAACTACACTGTAACTCAAAGAACCATCTTCCAAAAAGAATTTTTAACAAGGGTTGCACCTCATTCTCATGTTTTACCAAAGCTTGATTAAGCTGTGTAACCCAAGGCCGTCCATACAACAAAAAAGGCAATTATATATAATTCCTTTTCTCAAGTATTTATTCAAAGATGTTTCCATGACATTTTAAATGTCTCACTTAGGTTACTGGCATTAAACAGACCTCTCAGATTTCCCCCAATACTTTTTCTCTAAAATAAAATTTTAAAACCAGGAAAATAACCTTCGATTCTAGAGTACAAACAGAATGCAGCCCATCTGATTACAAAACACATACAAATTAACCATGAAGTAGACTCTTCCCAACATCAAGTGACTCCCAAAATAGAATCCTATAACCTCTATTATCAGTTTAATAAATTAGTGCTTTTCTCTATCTGAAGCCTTTAAAGAATCCTCCCATCACAAAACAATAGATTTGAACTGCTATAATAAGAGCACCCTGCTCTTAGGTAGAATATATTTCCTCTGAAGCATTTTAACCTTTTATAAGAAGATAATTTTGTAGGTCCTTTTTCCATGGCCTTGTAAGACCTCCCTCCCCCAACTTCCTGTCTTTTCGGGACTTACTGGGGAAAACCTAATAGGTAGAATTAATTTATTGCTGTTTTCCTAAATTATATAGTCCCCTGGACCCAACATTCTTTACCTAAGGCCATTTATAAATGAGAGGCTCTGGAACTACATACACACCCTTCAGAATCTAAAAGGTGCTAAGGACAATAGGACTATATATAAGCAGCCCAACTCAAAACAGTAAGTCCATTTCAATCAGCATTGCTGATTATCAATTCAGAAAACTATGAATGACTTAAAATCAGTGACCAACCAAAGGGGGACAGGGACAAGATACAATGTATTGCCTATAGACTTTGTCTACAGCTACCCCACCACCTCTCTACCCCACACTTGGTAAACTACTACTTATGAGTATTGATACTCATTAGAATGCTAAAACTGGTTTTTTTCTTTCATGTCAGCTGTAGGGCCCATGATTAAAGTTCTGAGTGGTGTAACCTTTACAAAACATGTACTCATATATTTAGGAGGTAAAAGTCAAAACCAAAAAGCTTTACGAAACAGCATGTTTATTCTATCTTAAAGCAGTGGTCCTTAGTGTAGCAATGGTCACTTGGGGTATGTGAAGTACAAAATCCCAGGGAACACCCCATAATGGTTCTGTTGTAAATGGCCCATAGGCCTCTTTGAAATGCCACATTATAATCAACCCTTCCCCAATTTACCCTATTACAGGCAACTGAGCAAATTACAGGTCAGGCAGACTCAATTTGCACAGCTATATATTTACTTTGCTAGAATTATTTGAACTATGAAAATTTTCAGACACGACTAAGTATGGTAAATCACAGTAGCTTAAATGTGGCCAGTAGTGAATAAAGGCTGTACCTTTCTCAAGCTTGTCAAAAGTAGGTTTAAAAAAAAGGACTCATGAACAGTTTGGGGTTTTCCTTAAATGTTGTTACACTAGTAAGCTGCACTATCAGAAAACCACTCCCCAGAAAATCTGAGATATGACACTATATTATGCATAGATCTACGTTTTGACAATGCATGTTAAACTGATCGCAAAACCAAATAGTCATATATTTCACAATCAACACAAATACTATGATGGACAGTGGATTCAGTCCTCCTGGGTTCCAAAAACATAAAGTGTTTACAAAGTACAGAGTAGCCTTAACTACAAAAAAAAAAAAATCCAAGCAGTAAACAATAAATGCGCATAAACTAAATGAGTTTCTAATGTATAGAATGCAAAGACCTAATAATTGAATGTTTTTGTGAAACCACAATCTCAGCATAAACTGGCATGTGGAGGGATGTTCCCCACACATACTGGATTCTAACTTAGGCACAATAAAGTAAAATGAAGCAACTGCCTTTCCAGTGTGCAGAGTATTAGGATTACAAGATGTGAAACTTTTGTTAACACACACTAAAATTAAGGAAAGATATGAAGAGGAGAAAACACAAAACCCCAGGAAGAGAAATTAACTCACCTGGTAGGTAGTAAGACACCTAGTAAACCAAAAGGCATCAAAATCTGACTCAGGATAACAGACCTAGAGCTCATTGCTTGACATTAAGTGGTACTGGTAGTTCTAACAAGAGACTACCAATCAGATTGAGAACTGAAATCAGTTACGAAACACAGTCCATTAGTAAACACAAGTTGATTCTACAATAAAACTAGCAAACTTGTGAACTCTGTTGACTAAATTCTAGAAAGGTACTGAGCTGTTAATATTTCAATTTTCCTGCTTCTTTTACTACCCTCAAACCTCCCACCACCAATCACCCACACACAAAATGTACTGGTAACGTCATCCTTATGAAATCCTAAATACCAGCATTTTTTTAAATTGTACAGCGGGTAGGGTAGGGTGGGAGGAGAGACATTAAAATATATACATATATATGGGCAAACGGGACAGCATCAGAATCTTAAAAGCTATAAAGCTTGTGAGCAAAAGTTGACTAAGAAAACTGAATATTCTGTCAGCATTGAGGACATCTCAGAATACTGCACAGAATCCCAGCAAAGGCTTAGAAACTGGTAGCCTAAGTACCAGCACACAGACAAACAAGGATGAAAGGAGTGGTTGAAAAGTCAAATTGATAATCTAAATTATATCTCCAGATCCTATTACCTGACACCCTCATACTAGCAAAAACCTAGAGATTTCTTCTCAAAAGGAGGCAAAAGAATTCATTTTAATAGGCAGCGATTAAAGTTAGTATTCCTCGGCCTTCTTCCGCCACTTAGAACACTAGCAGCTCCCCACCTTTTTTTTAGGTAAGAGGGTGAAAGACTTCTCTGTTGAGCCTAACAAGAGAGCAGAGATATTAAGGGATTCCTCAAAAACAATGCAGCCAGATTACCAGAAGCAAACATTGTCCACAAGCTCTTTCCCAGCCCAACACATCCACAACACTGCTCCCCTCTTAAGTAAAAGACC